GGGCCATTTGGATATTTATAACATCCTTCGTGGGCCAGATAAAATGATCAACTTAAAAATTAGCCTGCTAGATTTGGTCAAATATTTACTTAACTCACCCCAAATGCCTTAACAGGGCCAGACCTAATGATTTCGAGGGCCTCATATGGCCCCAGGACCAGATGTTCCCCACCCCTGAGCAGTCCTAGTAATCTTTTCCCTTTGACAGTAGTTGGTGTAGGGGTGGCCATGTGACCCAGCACTAATGTAGGAGATGTAAATAAAGGTGGCTGGAGATGTGTTTTGGGAAAGCTTGTTTTCCCAATAAAAAGAAACAACAGATTTACAAGGCATGGATGGCTCTTTCTCCTTTTGCTTTTCCTCCTCTTCTCTGGAATTTAGATGCGATGCCTAGTGGTGCAGCAGTCATCCTGTGGCCATGATATGACAAGCACCAGATGAAAGTTGTGTGCTAAGAACAGAGTGTGCGAAGAAGAAAGATCCAAGGTCCCTCTATGGCTGAGCTGCCACACTGAGTCTGGGTTTCACTCCTGATTTGTTCTTGATCGAGAAAAATGATAACTTATCTGTTGAAATCACAGTGCACTGAGATAGGGCATTGTTATTGCCGTTACTTAAAACCAAATTCATTCCTCAGTGAAAGCGTTATGTAGTATAAATATAGCTGTCAGGAGCCACTCCCTGGGGATTATAGTGACTGTCAGATCTTTAATGGGGTGAGGATAGGGGATGGTTTATGAAATGGTGGTATGTTCAAAGTGTCTATGCAAACTACCCTGAAGCTTTGAGATCTCACCATGCTAGTACACACATGTCCTAAATAGAATTAGCCCTTTAGCAAATTCATTTTACTGGTTTTTATTGATCCCTTATCATCTGCTACCTATTTTCCTAGGTGCTGGGCTAGTTTGGAGAACACAGCGATGATGTTGGCTCTCATTAAGTTAACATTTGGAGGAGGAAATAGAAAATAAACCAGAAAAATGAGTGAACAGAATCATTTCAGATAATGAGAAGTTCTATATAAAATGTAAGGTGGAGCGTTGTGATAGAGAGTCATGGGATGCTGTGTGCACGGAAGGCCTCAGAAAGGAGCCCGCTGTGTGAGACCTGAGGGCCAAGCTTTCCGGGAGAGACTGGCCAATGCAGAGGCCCCAGGCAGGAGCGAGCATGGCCCGCTAGAGACACAGAATGAATGAGTCATGGACGAGTGTCCACTGCACGGTGATTTGGAAGCCCACCCAGGCTTATCTCATTGTAGCGGTTCCGGCCATGGGCATTATGTGTATCTCCGGGCTGCAGACGGCTACATGTTGCATAAGTGATTTTTCCTATCTTCTGCTTCAGCCCGTCAGAACCCAGGGGATGGATGGATGGGGGAGGGTCTGTGTAATAGACTGTGATCAGGGTTACTGATCATCCGCTTTTCTTTGAAAATGGACCTGTCATTCTCAGACTCGTCCCAAGGCTCCCCAGGGGCTGGCTTCCTTTAGAATGGGGTCCGCCCTATTCTGGAGGGATTGGCAAAGCATTTGGCTGATACACAGCTGCTTCTGGGCCACGCTGCAGTCACTCCCACTAGTTAGAGTTGCCACACTTGATGTGTCTTGCTGGGAAAAGACCAACACAGAGAGGCAGGAAGCTGGGAGGGCTCCTGGCTCTGGCTCCCAGCTTGCCTTAGCTGGTCATACCTGACATTGTTTCCAAGTGGCACTTATCAGTGAAGCAGTGGCTTGAGATCACAGGGCTGAAATCCAGCTTTCTCAAACTTTTTTCTCTTGTTGTCTGGCATTACCCAGAACAGAACTGTTAGAATGAATGCCACCCTCCCTACTTGAACCCCGGGCAATTAGAACCATTGTAATTATATCTGTAGGCTGTTAGATTTCCTCTGGGGTCCTGTGTGATGGGTGGGGCCCTAGGAATGCAATGATTGTTTACTTTAGAAGAATAAGGTGACTTGGAAGTACCCAAACTATCATTTAGAAACCCCAGTCAAGTTCTCTAGACCTGTTACAAAATAAAGCACAAAATGTCAAAATAGAAGAGACTTTGGTGATTAATAACCCTCCTCTTAGAGATGGAATAAAAAAGAAAAAATGACTTGGCCAATATTAATAGTCCTATATAATAAAAGCCTACTATGCTAAGTGGTCATCTGGTCAACCGTTCAATCAAACCATAATATGCTAATACGGTAATATGCTTAGGCCTCTCAACCACTTGCTATGATGTGCACTGACCACCAGGAGGCAGACACTCCAACCAGTAGGTTAGTTTGCTACTGGGTTCTGGCAGATTGGACTGAGTGAGGTGGGCTGGACATGCCCTGGAGCCCTCCTGCAATCCCTTCCTGTCTGGCCAACCTCCCGAGTCTCTCCCTGACCCCAATCATGCACCCTCTCGCAATCCAGGATCCCTGGGGGATGTTGGAGAGCCAGTTTTGGCCCAATCTCATGAGCCAGGCCAAGGGATCCCATTGGTGCACTAAGTTGTGCACTGAGCCTCTAGTACTAAAGGAAAAGGAAGGCTCCTTGAGATTTGCATGGGTCTTGCGTAGACAATTCCAATATTTTGTTGTAATGTTCTGCTTTGACTTATGGAACAAAGAACAAAATATCTCATTTTGTCAACAATGTGTACAGAGTCCTCTGTTCCTCTATCTGGCTTGACTTGGCCATTCTAAGTAGCAGGCATTCTTTTTCTTATTTCACAGAAATGAATCCATTTAGTTAGTAAGTGGCAACCCTGAACTCAAGCTTTAGCATTCCAGCTTTCATCCAATATAATTTCCAAGTCCACCTCCACTTGTGCTGTCTGAGAGTTGAGGGACATAGTAGAATTAGCCATAATTTGGTGGGTTAGGACACATAGATGCCCCGTGGTGGATGTTCTGGGTTGCTGGGAGTTCCAAGGAAAGGATTCTGATTTTCAGCAAACCATCCTCACCTTCACTGACGTATGACTATTTCCGCCTTAGATCTGCTGTATCTGAAGCCCAGGTCCTCTGGTCCTCATATAACTTGATGCTGTCATCTCAGTAGCTGCCTTCACTTATTTTAAACTAGAGGCCCAGTGCACGAATTTATACACCTTGAAAGGAATTGTGGGCCATGAGGCTGTGGTGGGCACAGGGTCTCGGACCATCCTCTGTGCCCTCGCCTGGCCCCTCCCACCACAGCACCCACTCCCCTGTCTACTGGCAGGCAGCCCTGCTTTTGCCACCACCACTCCCATGAGCGATTGGGGCAGGTGCCAGCAGCAAGTGTGAGTGGGGCCGACACCATCAGTGGGTGTGAGTGGTGGCTGCTGCCCCGATTGTCCCTCAGGAGCAGGGGGAGATGGAGAAGCCCTGAAAGGCAATCAGGGCTGGCAGCCACCAGTCACAACCACTTGTGGCGCCAAACGATCAGAGGCAATGCCAGATGCCAGCAGTGGGTGCGAGTGAGTGGTGGCTTCGGCACTGGCAGCAGGGTGTGAGCACCAGGTGAGAACATGGTGTGCCGGAGGAAAGAATTTCCAGTAACCACCAGAGGCTCACCCTGATTATAGCACCAGTGCCCCACATTGGTCTGGTGCCCTCACTCACCTGCTCCACTATCCTATTGTGGCTGATGCCTGCCACATTCTGCCACCTGCTGCTGATGCCACCATGTTCTGTGCGCACCCTCTGGTGGTCAGCACATGTCATAGCAGCCAGTTGTTCAGTTCTGTTGTTCTGCCGTTATGTCCATTTGCATTATAGGGTGATTATATGTGTGTGTGTGTGTGTGTGTGTGTGTGTGTGTGTGTGTGTGTGTGTGTTGTCTCCCAGGCATAGTGTGGCACATAAAAGCCCAGTCTATTAGCAGCAACTGGCTGCTCCAAATCCTGGCTCCACCACTTCTTTTGGGAGACCTGATGTATATGACTTAATCTTCCTGAGTCTCAGTTTTGTTTGCTACAAAAGGAGGCTAGCAAGAGTACTTTCCTGGGAAGATGGTTGAGACTAAAGGACAAAAGGGATTTATAAGAGTGTGTGCTCAATCAACATTAGTGGTTGCTGCATTGCTCTGGATACAATACAAGGAATTATGTTACAGGGCTGTTGTCTCCAGCAGTGCAGAAAGAATATGTTCATAGTTCATATCATTTGTAGGCATCCCAGGTTGAGAAGAATCTGAAACATAGTTATGTCCAATTTGCTGTTTGACTCCAGAGAATGATCTGTCACAGATCCTGTCCTATATGGATTATCTCCTTATTGTCCTGGTCACTGCCTCCAACAGCAGAAAGCTTTGGCTCACCAACTGAAAAGCTCGAGTTGACCTGGAAGTCATGCTTAGAACAGAAAAAGAAGTGCCTCTTCTATTATATCTTGGAGAGTATAAAGGATGCAGTGATAAAAAAAAACCACTGTCCTGGATTTTTCCAAAACTCAATAAATCTCTCTGCATAAGGATCTCCAGGAGTTGCCAAAGTATCATTTGTCTCTTGTTTTTGTCATGCGATAGACTGGTAAAAAGTTAATGAGCATTAGATTGTGCATTTGTGCTCCAAGTCTATAGAAGTGCTACTACTTCAAGTCATACACATCTAAAACACACCCCATGCTTGTTTCATGGTTTCTCAGCAATATTCTGACTTTATTTGATCACGTCCTGTTTATTTCCTCATGCAAAGCTGATTCTCTTTCTCTCTCTCCTCCCCCTTTCCTGTTCCTCCCCCCCTATTACCCCCTTTTCCCTCCTCTCTTCCCACCTTTATACTTTTTGCATATTTAGATCATCTTTCTCTCTCTCCCTAAAGACCTTTCAATGGCTCAGCATTTTGTTGCAATGAGTGAGCAAGGTTGGAAAACAGAGCCAATCTGGGAAGCAACAGCTCAGCCTCACAGAGTAAATGTGCTTTGTGCTATTTCTGGACAGAGCAGATGTGGCCTGATGGTCTTTGACAAACAATATCTCTCAGGTAAAATAAATTACTGAGATTAGAACCAAAATGATGCAAATCCTTTATTTACAGACAGATCATGAACTGGGAGCCACGTGGAAAGAAGACTAGCTTGGAACTCAGTCAGGATCCTGTCCTGGGTTTCTTCCAGATCACCCTCCAATCATCCATCTGGTCTCAAGTGAGTACCTGTGACTTACAAAACCATTTTTAAAAACCAACAACAACAAAAAATAGGGAGAATAAAATAACAAAACTCTGTGTGTCAGTACTGAGTTCTAGGCAACCCTAACATTTTGACAAGTTCACTCCAGACCCACTTGATTCCTCTTCAGTCCCATTTGCCTTCCTCCCACCCCACAGATAAACACTGTCCTGAATTTGCATGCTTTCCTACTTCCGTGTACATATGTATCTTTCCACAGTAGGTACTGTCGTTTTGCATGTTTTGAATCTTTAAATAAATGGAAGCACACTGGCTTTTTCTGAATCTAGCATTAGACATCAGAAACATAGGTCTGGGTCCATTCATTTTAACTGCTATGTGGTGTAATGTTTCATGAACAGATCACTATATATGCATATTCGTTTTTCTATTGATGAACAATCAGATTGCTTCTTTAAATTTCTATTTTATTTTTCTATCTCAAATGACATACAATGTTATGTTAATTTTCAGTATTTCACTTCATGATTACACATTTATATACCTGATGTGGTGATCATCCAAATAAGTCCAGTATCGACCTGGTACCATACATAGACACTGCAGTATTATTGACTGTATTCCCTATGCTATACATCACAGCTTTGTGGCTATTTTTATAACTGGCAGTTGATATTTCTTAATCCATTCACATTTTTAATCCCACCACCAACCTTCTCCGATCTGGCAACTACCAATTTGTTTCTGTTTTGTTTGTTCATTCTGTTTTTTAGAATCCACATAAAGTAAAATCATATGGTATTTGTTCCTGTCTGACTTATTTCACTTAGCATAATACCCTCTACATCCATTCATTTCATAAGTAATAAAATTTCACTCTTTTTATGATTGAGTAATACTCCACTGTGTGTATATGCCACATCTTTATACATACAGCTATTGATGTACATCTATCAATAGTTTACTTTCATATGTTGGCTATAATAAACAAAGCTGCTATGAACATACAGGTGCATATATCTTTTTAAATTGGAGTTTTATATTTATTTGGATTAGTACCCAGAAGTAGAATTGCTGGATCATTTGATATTTCTACTTTTAATATTTTGAGGAAGCTCCATACTATTTTCCATAGTGGCTACACCAATTAACATTACCACCAACAGTGAGTGCATGAGGGCTCCCTTTTGTCCATTTTCTCACCAACACTTGTTGATGTATTGACAGGTGTGAGGTGATATCTTAATATGTTTTTAATTTGCATTTTTCTGATGATTAGTGTCATTGAGCATCTTTCCATATATCTATTGTCCACCTGCATATCCTCTTTGGAGAAATGTATTGTTCAGGTCTTTTTTGGTGTTAGTTGGTTTAGCATCTTAGATATTGGATATTAACTTCTTATCATTGGTGAATATTTTTTCCCATTCACTACTTTAAAATATGTTTTTTACTACTTTTATAGAGGAAAGGAGATGGATAAAGAGAAATATCAATGAGAGAGAAATATCATTGGCTGGCTGCCTCCTGTATATCTCCTACTGGGGATTGAGCCTGCAACTCAGGCATGTGCCCTGACTAGGAATCAACCAGTAACCTCTTGGTTCATGGGTTGTTGTTCAACCACTGAGCCACAGCAGCTGGGGTCTTCTCCTGTTCAATATATAGTAATTTCATTTTGTTAATTGATTCCTTCTCTGTGAAAAACTTTTTCTTTTTACTTTAATGTAGTCCCATTTGGTTTTTTTGTTTCTCTTGTCTGAAGAGACATATAAAAAATCACTAAGAGCAATGTCAAAGATTTTACTACCTATACATATTTTTCTTCTAGGAATATTATGGTGTCAGATCTTACATTGAAGCCTTTAGTCAATTTTGAGTTTATTCTTGTATGTGGTATAAGAAAGTGAACCAGTTTCATTCTTTTGTATGTATTTGTCCTGTTTTCCAAACACTAATTTTTGAAGAGACTTTCTTTACCCCATTGTATGTCTTGCCTCCAATGTTAATTGACCATATAGGCAGAAATTTATTTCTGAACTCTCTATTGTGTTCCAAAGATCTATATGTTTATATTTTGTCAGTACCCATGATATTTTGATTACTACGGCCTCGTAGCATAGTTTGAAAGTATGATACCTCTAATTTTGTTCTTTCTCAAGATTGCTTTCAGGGTCTTTTTTGATTCCATATGAATTTTAGGATTATTTGTTCTGGTTCTGTGAAAAATGCCAGAAAAGGATTGCATTGAATCTGTAGATTGCTTTGGGTATTATGAATATTTTAATGGTTAATTCTTTCTATCCATGAGCATGATATATCTTTCCATTTATTTGAATCATTTTCATGTTTTTTTTTGTTGATGTCTTATTTTTTTTCAAGTACAGTTTTAATATCCTTGGTTAAATTTATTTTTAGGTATTTTACACTTTTGAAGCAATTATAAATTGTTTTCTTAATTTCTCTTTCTGATACTTTTGTATTGGTATATAACAATGCAACTTATTTATTATTATTTCATTTGTATCCTCCTATTTTTTCCTAAAGTCATTTATTTTAATAATTTTTATGTAATATTTGGGTTCTCTAGGTATAGTAACATACGATCTATAAATTATTACAGTTTTACCTCTTCCTTTCCAGTTCAGATGCCTTTTTTTTTTTCTTTTGTCTGATGACTGAGGCTAGGACTTAGAATACTATATTGAATAATAGTGGTGAAAATGGCATCCTTGTCTGCTCCTGAGCTTAAAGAAAAAGCTTTAAGCTTCTACTGTTGGGTATGATGTTAGCTGTGGGTTTGTCCACACATGGCTTTAATTATGTGTAGGTGTGCTCCCTCTAGCCCCACTTTGCTGAGAGTTTTTATCATCAATGACAGAATTTGGATTCTGTCAAATGCTTTTTGCTTTTTATGCATCCATCGATATGTTCCTATGATTTTTATCCTTCACTTTTGTATGTAGTATATCATGTTCATTGATTTGCATATATTGAACCAGCCTTGCCACCTGGGAATAAATCTTTCTTGATCCTACTGTATGATCTTTTTAATCTATTACTAAATTTAATTTGCTAATATTTTGGGAATTGTTGCATCTGTGTTCATCAGGGATACTGAGGTAGGCCTGCGTTGCTATAAATTGTCTTCTTAGAACTGCTTTGACTGTGTCCTTGAGGCCCAGTGGCATTGTATCCATGGTCACCTAAGCTTATGTGTGTTGTGTGTGCCCTCCTATGGTAGTTGAAACTTAATTGCTGTTGGTACATCTGTGGGTTGGATTATTCTTCAGGCTGACTGGCCATGAAGATTAGCTGTGACTACAGTAGACAAGTTGTTGTGGGGTGTGGGGGGTGTGTGTGTGTGGAGGGGACTGACCGCATGGACCAAGAGTCACTTTAGCAGGCTTCTAATGCCAGCTGAGTCTGCCCTTGGAGTGAGCCATTTGTGGAGTTGGTTGGGTGGTGCTCTTGTATGATCTGAAGGTGGCCACTGGGTACGTTGATTCTGGAGCCTCTTGGGAGGGGCTCCAGTGCAGGCCAAGGTTAGCCATTGTTTGTGCCTGGCTTGGAACCACCTCGTGGGAACTACAAAACGATCTATAACTGGTTACCATTTTTTCTAGGTTTGAAGGCACTTGGAGAGGCTGTGCTACGAACTGAGACCAGTTGTCATTAGTGCCCTGGTTAGAATCTTTTTGTGGCTGCCACTTGTGCTGAGCTTGTGTCTTCTTAGTTGAAGCTACATTCCAAACCAACACTGACCACAGTTTATGCCAGTCTTGGGGCCACCTGATGGAAGTAGTTATGGAAGTTGAGACTGGTAGCTGCTTGTTCTGGGCTTGGGGCGACTCAGCAAGAAGCAAGGGCAAGCAGAGGCTAGCTGTTACTTTTTTGATGTTGTGGACTTTTGAGAGACTTTGGGAAAGTTTTCAGCCCAAGCAAAGACAGGCCACTTGTAAGGAAAAGCCACTGGAAGTGGCTTGGGCTACTCATGAGAGTTGGTGGGGCAAGGCCTCGGGGACTCACCGGTGTGGGGTGAACAGTGTTGAGCCAGTTAATGGAGAATTGAGATTCGGTGCCACCTGCACTTGTCAGCTTGGTGAGGGTAAAGCTCAACAAAGGAGCCATGGCACCTGCCAGTGCTTCTATCCCAGTGAGAGCTGCCCTGAGCTGCCCTGGCCCAGGCCTCTCCAGTCAGCTGTGCCCTGAAGCCAGTCATTTCCGTTCCTCCCTGTATGTCCCTGGTGCTTTTCGAGGTGTTGCATCTGAGCTATAGCTCAGAATGAGTGGACCTGGGAGTGAGTGAGCGAGCAGGTCCCTCAAGAGAAAAACCTGGGACTCCAGCAGCCCTCCATCACTTGGATGTAACGCCTGCTGATTTTCACAGCCATATGTTATGGCAGGTTCTCCTTCCTGGCACTGGGCCCCAGGTTGGGGAGCAAGGTCTGGGGTCCCTTGATCCTCAGGGGGACTTCCACAGCTGAGATACCTTTCCCAATTCTTAATCACCACACTGTGGGCATGGGACCTGCCTATGCTGTGTCTCTGAGACCTCCCACTGGTCTCGTTGTGGCTTCTTCTTTACGTCCTTAGTTATAGGACTTCTGTTGAGCTAGTCTTTAGGTGGTTCTCCATGATGGTTGCTGTTTAACTTAGTTGTAATTTTGATGTTGGAGATGAGCATAGCATTTACTTACTATCCTGACTGGAAGTGCTAGATTGCTTTTAATTTTGCATTATTTAGCCAATGCTTCAATGAATCTTTTTATATATTTCTTATACTAACATACAAAAGCTACTCTAAATTAACATTTCCAAAAAGTTTTATCTATACTCACAGTTAAACATACATTTATATGGAAGCCCAGCACATACATGTGCTGCATTTGTCTGTGTGTGTGCACATATATGTGGAATAAAAGTTTATTAAAATAATGCCCACCCTTATTTTCTATTCAGTTATAATCTAGTTTAACCTAGTCTATTTCACACCCAAAAAAATATGCTGGTTG